GAATGCTGGACCCTCCGAGCATCCTCCACTGACACCATCTAGGCAGAGATGAGAACAGCCTTCTAAGCTCCTGCAAGCCTAGAACAACCTCCCGTGTGCTGTCCCTGCCCTCTCACACTGCACCCCTCCGGAGCAGGGACTATAACGGATTCATCTTTGGGGCGGCTTTCACAATGCAGCACACAACAGGCCTTTACAAACATGCACCATGTGCCAGGAGCTGTTCTCAGCATTTTATACCTATTAACCTACACAGTCTTAATGTCCCCCCGCTCCCAGAGGCTGCCTTGACCTTCAGGTCTAGTCAGGGGCTTGTGTCCATTTTGAAAAAGTGGACTATGATCTAGGCAGGCCATCCCCAAGGTCAGGGCACAGTCTGACAAGGTCATACTGGTCCAGACTGGGCTAAGCTGACTTGTCTGTACAGGGATTCCTCTCCTCCCCCAGCCTCAAAGGTTCCCCTGATTTCCCTCTGTCCTAGGAAGCAAAGTGCGTGTATGTGCAGACATAAGAATGAATCACATCTAGTCAAGAAGCACATGGGTCGGATATGACTGGGAACCACAGAAACTTCCAGTAAGGGTTGCTCTTGTCCCAGCAGAGCTGCTCTCAAGCTGAGTAATGTGGCTGCCCAGCCTCGGGGGCTCTTGCTGCCACAGCCTCTAGCCAGGAAGGCAGATCTCAATTAAGAGAAATCAGCAGCACCTCCTTCAGCCTCTTCCCATGTGGGCCCCTCCCCCAGGTCCCCTGCTCTCAGGTATCCCATGGGATTCTGCGTCCAGACAGGATCTGTCTTTTTACTACACAGATGTACTTGATAAAGTCACGTTTATTTATGTGTGTGCTAATTGGAACTTTGTCCGCTTCTCTTTTATCTTAAATGTTTTTATTAATTCTTTGAGAATTTCATATGTTTGGTTGGTTGGTTGATTGGATTTTTTCTGAGACAGGGTCTCCCTGTAGCCCCAGCTGATCTGAAACTCACTATTATAGACCAGATTGACCTCCATCTCTGAAACTCACTATTATAGACCAGATTGACCTCCATCTCACAGAAATCCACCTGCCTCAGCCTCCAACGTGCTGGGATTAATGGTGTGTGCCACTACACCTGGCCCTCTCTTTTTAAAAATATTTTATTTTTTTTATTATTTTATGTGTGAGAGTGTACTGCCTGCATGTAAGTGCACCCTTGTCATGCAGTGCCTTCGGAGGTCAGAGGAGGGCATTGGATCCCCTGGAACTGGAGTTACAGTTATTAGCTGCCATGTGGTACTGGGAACTGATCCTGAGTCCTCTGCCAGAGCAGCCAGTGCTTTTAACCTCTGAGCCATCTCTCCAGCCCCTCTTTTTTTCTTCTTTCTTTTTTTAAAAAATAACCCATTGACTTCAATTTGCATGGTCCAGATAGGAGGTGAAGTCACGTTGCCCATACAAACCCAGAAAACCTCATACCCAAAGGCCATCGTTACTCCCACTATGTGGGTGACTAGGTGAGCTCTGGACAGTGGACTCGGCAGCAGGGCTGCATGCTTTGAAGACTCATTCATGAGAATTCCCCTGCAGGAACCTCAGCAAATAAAACCAAACAGCTGGAAGAGGAAAATCAGCCTGGAGCTGGGGACAGGACATGGCTGGGGAATTTTAAAACTGTGGAATTTACCAGAAGGCTGGCTGGGCCCCTACCCCACCCCAGAGTGCTTGGAGGAAAAAGATGGAGCCTAGGGGAACATGCTTTACCCTCTGCACTTGTACCATGAGTCCTGAGTCACATTACAAAGAAAACATTTCTGAGAAAGAAAAGAAGCTTGGCACAGAGTGACAGATGTTGAGAAAAAGCAGGAAAGGATTTGAAATTCAAGCCTAATTAACAGGCTGTCACTATGTATTCCTGGCTGGCTATGTAGACTAGGATACCCTCGAACTCACAGAGATCCACCTGCCTCTGTCTCTCAAGTGCCCAAGTGCTGGAATTAAAGGCGTGTACCACTATGCCCGTCCTTTTAATTTATTTTAGAAAGGAATTCTCTTTTTTTTAAATTTTATTATTTTTGTTTTATGTGTATGAATGTATTGCCTGCATGTAAGTGCACCCATGTCGTGCAATGCCCAAGGAGAAAAAGGCATCATCAGATCCCCTGGAACTGGAGTTACAGATGGTTGTTAGCCACATGTGGGGGCTGGGAATTGAACCTGGGTCCTCTGCAAGAGCAGTCAGTGCTCTTTACCACTGAGCCATCTCTCCAGCCCCAGGAAAGGAATTTTCTATGTAGCCCAGACTACGTTGGAACTTATTTAAATTACATTTTATTTTCTTCATGTGTGCACTTGCACACACGTGTGCATGTGAGAGAGAGGGTAAAGGAGAGAGAGAGGGTGGGGGGGGAAGAGACAGAGACAGAGACAGAGAGAGAGAGGAGAGACAGAGAGACAGTATGTAGCCCAGACTACGTTGGAACTTATTTAAATTACATTTTATTTTCTTCCTGTGTGCACTTGCACACACGTGTGCATGTGAGAGAGAGGGTAAAGGAGAGAAAGAGGGTGGGGGGAAGAGACAGAGACAGAGACAGAGAGAGAGAGGAGAGAGAGAGAGACAGAGAGAGAGAAACATGTACATGTGGAGATCAACTTGTGGGAGTCAGTTCTGTCCTTCTACCATGTAAGTCCCTGAGAGTCAAAATCAAGTCATCAGACTTTGGGCCCAGTGCCTTGCAACTTCTGATCCTCCTGCCTCAGCCTCCCAGGTGCTGAGATTCCAGGCGTGGACTCCCACACCCAGCTTCCCGGGGTTTGTGGGGTTTGAAGCCTCTACTGGAAGGGGAAAGTGGCAGGAGCTGTGAGGACTCAGAGGGAGAACCTTGTTGGGCAGGCATCTCCTCTCCCACAGACACCCCAAGTCCTGCCATGAAAGGACCCAAGAAGTGAGCCCCCAAGAATGGGATGTTCAGCCTGCTACAGTTGGGAAATGCATATTAAGAAATAAGGATGGGTTAAGATGTGGGAAGTTGCTACAATGTCTTGCACTGTTGCGGACGGGGTAGGGGGGTGGGGGGGTGGACGGCATATCATTTCATTCCAAGGCATTTCCACTCTGTCAACAGCCCTGCGTTCTCAGTCTGTTCTCTGGGAAAGAACCACACATGCTCCCCAGAGAGCCCATGCCAGGCTGAACACTCACAGCCATCAAACACACAGAAGACAGTGGTCGTTCATCAGGGACATGAATAAAACCTCCCTATTTGATGGAATATTATATAGCACTTTAGTATAAGCAGATATTGTCTAAGTATTAAAAAAAAAAAAAGCCCTCCAAGACCTATTGCAGACATGGTAAAAGCCAAACAAAGACTCATGATTGGGTGTGATGGTGCCTGCCAGTAATCCCAGAAGGTAGAGGCAAGAGGATTTAGGAGTTCAAGGACATCCTTGGCTAAATAGCAAGCTTAAGACCAGCCTGAGCTACATAGACTTTATCTAAAAAAAAAAGACAAGCTGAGGATGGATGAGCTCAGCTGACAGAGGGCTTGCCTATTGTGCACTACGTAAATTAAGAGTGAGGTTGCTCACCTGTAATCCCAACAACCAGGAGGTGGAGGCAGGAGAATAGGTTCAAAGTCACCCTCAGCTACAGTGAGTTGGTGACCAGGCTGAGCTATACCAGATCCTGCCTCAAAAGAGGAAGCCCCTACATATTTCTACAAAAGTACAGCTATGCATTTATAAAGGTCTGTAAAGAGAAAGCTTGGAAGAAATCGAGATGAAGAGTCAAAACAATTAGCTTTATCATAGCATAATGAAAGGAGAAAACTGACTCCTGACCTCCACACTCTTGAGGTGGCATAGATATGTGCACCCCCCAAATAAATAAATGCATAAAAGGGGAGGATCCCACTCCGTACAAAGGAAGCGAACAAGCTTCAGACCCTGGCAAAGCTGCCCCATTTCCACAATCCATCCTTCCTTTATCTCCCAGAGTCCTCCTCACCCCAAACCCTTACCTTCCTCAGATGTAGAGAGTGGAGTATGGGATCTGTCTGCAGTGTAGCAGTACCGGGCTGCTCCCTTTTACCCCCAGCAGGGCAGGCATCACACTGCTCATTGGAGATGGAACTGCCACCTCTCTCCTACCAGCAGCCCACCCACCTGCCTCCTCTGTCTAGGTTCAGAAGAATAGACTGACCTCCAAAAGAGGCACCCCAGACACACATCAGCTTGCTGCTCTCTGTCCCCTTCCCACCCAGCCTCTGTTCAACTGTGAACCTTCTCTCCCCTGCAGACACTGGGTTCCATACAGCAGATAACATCTGGCTCATCTGAGTCCCCTGATCCCCCTCTCCACACTCCAGTGCCTCATTTGGTGCTGGCCCCTGGAAAGTGTTCTGTGTTCTAAGGCAGTGTCCAAACTCATTTCTGGCCCTGCTTACCACAGAAACCAGACCCACCACTGAATTTTTCCAGGCAGAAATATTCACCATGTGCTTCGGGGCACTCGGCCCACACCAGTGGCCAAAGAGATGTGAGTTTCTCACTATCCCTACTCCTGAGACTTCCCAGCAAGCAACTGGAGCAAACACAGCCTGCAGAGCCTGACACCATCCTCCAGCCAAGATGACCCCCACAGACCTCACCTGATCTGCCCAGGAGCCCTACAGGCCCGCAGACAGGGTTCACCAACAGCTCTGTGTTGCCTGGGGTTCAATTCATGGTGTATGAATGAACGGGTCCCAGGCATCTCTACCTGCGGGGTGAAGAGGAGGCGCCCTCCCTGGCCCTACAGTCAACCGCTCACCTGTGAATACTTCGCACATTTCACCTTTCACTGCCCCCTTTGTCACCTGGGCCCCCCTCCCCCAGCTGATCGGGTGGAGGAGAGAGAAGTGACTCTTTCGCCCCTGCTCCAGCCACAGCAGCACACACTGTCCCGGGCTGCGGACCACTGGCGTCTCCCCAGGCTCCTGTCACATCCCCCCCCCCCCCCCCCCCCCCCGCGCCCTTACCTTTGGGAAGGCTTGGAGAGTTTCCAGGAGCAGCAGTCCTAGCACCGCGCGGAGGGCGCACATCCTGGCCGGGAGCAAGTGCTCGCCCACCTGGGAAGCGCGGCGCCCACGTGCGGCCCCCAGGCTGTCGGTGTGCTCCAGCGCCCGCGCGGGGAAGTCACTTCTAATGTGGCTGTCCCTTCCCTTCCGCAGGTTCAGCCCTAATCCTTCCCTCCCCCCACCACCTGAGATTCAGTGCTCCGTTTCCCGATGAAGCAGGAGACAGAAGGGGCCACCACGTGCAGAGATGACTCAGGGCCAGCCACAGAGCACGCAGGGGGCTCCCCGCGAGGCTCTCACCCCTGCTGCTTGACTGGCCCGCCCCAGATTAAAGGGGGGGCAGGTACCAGGGACCGTAGCTCAGTCCTGGAGGTACAGAACTCAGGAGATTGCAAGGTGCCTATGTCCTGAGACCCCCCCCCAGCCCCAGCCCCACCCCAAGGAAGGGTGGAACTGAAGCAGTTTCCTGCTCCTGACGCTACCAGCAACCTGGCCTCCCACTCCTTGGACAAAGTCAGGAGACTTCAGAGAAAACAATCCCTTCCTCATCATAAAAATTTGCTGTAAAATAAATCAGTGCATGGGGGAGTGGATGGGTGGCTAGAGAACAAATGGATGTGAGGATGGATGGATGGATGGATGGATGGATGGGAAGATAAGGGGATAGATGGATGGGTGGATAGATAGGGTGGATGGATAGATGAGGAATGGATGGATAGATGAATGAGTATATAAGGAGATAGATGGATGGATAGATAGATGGATACATAGATGGGGGTGGATAGAGGAGGAATGAAGGGATGGATGGATGGGACAATAAGGGCATAGGTAGATGGGTGAATGGATATAGATAGATGGGGATGGAATGAAGGGATGGATGGGTAGATGGATGAGGAGTTTGGAGAAGGAATGCAGGAATGAATGGGTGGGTGACTGAATAGATGGAGTGAAGGAGTGTTAGATGAGATGAGGAAATGGATGGGTGGGTAGATGGTGGATGGATGAGGAGAGAAAGGGATGGACTCATAGGTGGATGAGTAGAAAGGCGGATGAAGAAATGAGGGGATGGATGAATAAATGGATAAGCGGGTAGATAAATACTTGGGAGAATGGGTAACTGCAGGAATTGGTAGGTGGATGGAGTGCTAGATGGATGCACACATTCGTGGAAGATAGGTAGGTGGATAGGTGGGCTGACTAGTGAAGGGTCTACTATGGAAAACTAGGATAATCTGCATACCGGTAATTCCACAGGTGGCCCCTGGCCCCTGAGGCTTTCTGGCTGGAGGAGGTGGCTGGCACTCTTCCCTACAGTAAAGCAGTAACAGAACTTGTTCTGTTAGTTTCTCCTTTGTGTGGAGCTGCTGTTCCCACGTGGGGCTTCCCCTTGCCTGGGTTCTCTTTTTACATTCTTTCTTCTATTAATACCGTTGACACATGTCTATTTATTGAGCACCGGCTAGCAGGCCACAGTTTTGTTTTGTCTTTTTCCTTTTTTTCAAATATGTAAACTAACACTGAGAGACAGGCAAGCCATCTGTGTGCTCTAAAGATGGACCAACTATTACTCCCAAGGCCAGAAGGACCCAAGGAACTTTCGGCTTCCGTCCTTTGGTTGATCTGCAGTGCTAGGCCCCATTTGGTAGAGGTCCCCACAGGGAGGGCATCAGCTACCACCTTCCATTAGAACCTCAAGTGATAATGAAAGTACCTTGACCTGACAGTCACCATGCAGGGAGAGACAGAGGAACCCAAGGTGCTTGCTTCCCAGGCTGCAGCTGGTGTTTAGAATGAACAAATACTTGTTAGACACGTAGAGAATAAAAACACAACATGGGAACAGCTTGCACCAGGGGGGGGATGCAAATAAAAATCAGTGACAAATTGTTGAAGACCAACCTTTCTAGGTGTCAAAGGTATGCAAATTAAAGCAATCTTCAGTAATCTTCTGGACCTGTTAAGTCATCAGTGGGGGGTTTTTTAATTTATAATACCAGTTTGGGAAAAAAACTATGTGAAACCAGAACATTCATTTATACTGTGTTGGTAAGTGTTACAACCCCCTTCAGAAAGCAGTATGAAGTCTTAGCAAAAGCAAAAGCAAAAAAAAAAAAAAAAATTTTTTTTAGGCTTACATCTTGTTGCTCAATAATTTCACCAGCAAAACAATGAAGAAAAACTAATAGTTCAACTAGAAAAAGAAAAAAAGAAAAGAAACTATAAATACACTAACATCTCCTGAAACGGTATTTATAAATGCTGGAAATATCTGAGTCACAACAGGGACTAATTATGGAAATGGAGGTCCATCCCTCTTGAAAGACAGTAAACAGTCACAAAAAATGGCAATGCTATAGTATAGAAATTTGTCTCTCACTATTAGCCCTTCCTCTCCACAGGCAGCTTCTGAAACATACAAGTGCCCAGGCCACTGCTCTGCATAGACCTTAGCAGAAAGAAGTGCAGTGTTTGAAGCAGGAGCCTCGCCTGCTAGAAACTTACATCCTTTCTAAAAAAATTATTCATTGGGGCTGGAGAGACTGTTCAGCAATTAAGAGCACTGGCTGCTCTCGCAGAAGACCCAGGTTCGATTCCTAGTACCCACACAGCAGCTCACAACTGTCCGTAACTCCAGTTGCAGGGTTCCAACTCCCTCTTCTGACCTCAGCAGGCACTTCATGACACGGGTGCACTTACACACATGCAAGTAATACAATCATACATGTAAAATAGAAATAATAAATAAAATATTTTTAAATTTTATTTATTAAGAGCTGGAGAGATGGTTCAGCAGTTAAGAGCTTCTACATGGCAGCTTACAACCACTTGTAACTCCAATTCCAGTGGATCTGTCGCCTTCTTCTGACCTCTGTGGGTGCTGCACACATGTGATACATATACAGACATGCAAGCAAAACACTCGTACGCATAAAAACTTTAAATCTTAAACTTTAGTCATTATTATTATTATTAATTGTTATTATTATTATGAGTGATGCATTTATGTGTGAATATGGGTGTGCAGATGTCAGGCTAGCTGGCCCAAGAACTTCCAGAAGATTCTCCCGCCTCTGCTCCCCCCGCCCCGGCCCCATCGTGCTGTAGGAATGTTCAGATCACAAATGCACACCAGTTGCGGTGGTCAGGCTTTTGTGACAGGTGCCTTTGCACAATGAGCCATCTCACTCGTCTGACCAGCCCTGGAATTTTGATTTGATGGCAGTAATGATGGCCCCCTTTTGCTGGCTTACTCTGTGCTAAGAGCTTTCAAGTATCAGCAACTTGAATTCTCTCAGAACCTCGTGAAGACTCTACTTTTGTGCCCATTCAGCAGGCGAGGCACTGGGGCCTAGAGCAATGCATCCACATGGCCATGCTCATGACACCCTAATCTAGAAACACTCAAAATCGCCTTTCACAGACTATGGTTTAGCTCCTCCTCTCCAGCCTTGGCTCCTGCTAAACTTAGCACAGCTCCTGCCCCCCACCGTCTCCCCTCAGAACCAGGGCTATCATTCCAACACCAGCTGTCCCTTTGTAGGTTACCCAACACCATCCCCCTCCTCCCCAGTCAAATGGCCATTGCAGCCTTTTGTGTCTAAATTGTACAGTTGATCTCAATGTCATGACAAAAATGACCAGCTGATGTGTCCCTCTGCCCCAGGACGCTGTAGAGTCTGGGAGAGCCAGGGTGCCGGGGAGCACTAGGAAGGTATCTTGTCCTTGGCTATGGCATTGACTACTTGGCTGGAGGGGGCTGGATGTCAAGTGAAGAGTGACAGGCAACAGCCTCAGAAAACAGCCGCTCATGGGACTCCAAACAGCAGGCAGGGGACAGAGGCCCTGGGTGCCTTCGGCGGATCCCAGCGAGTTCATGAACCCCTGAGCAGACATGAAAGTGCTTTGAAGGGCAGGAGGGAGAGTCCCTGGGCTCAGAGGAGCAGACCCCATGTGGGACTTCAGGGGCTTAGTCCAATGTAGAGATCAAGTCCCTGGGCCTGCTGGAGGCTGGGATCAGATAATAAGAGCCATTGCCCACTTGGTCAGGTCCACAGAGCAAGGGGAGGGTAGTAGGCAGGGCAGGAAGGCCTCAAGGGGAAGAAGACTCATGTTACCAAAAGGATGCTGAGCAAGACGCTGGTCCTGACTTTGCTCAGGAAATTCAGGGACTTCCCCAGCAGCTGGGAAGCCCAGCCCCAAATGGCCCCAAAATACCCTCAACAGACAGAGATTGCTTCTGCCTCAGCAGCCCCAGGCAGGTGGGTGGCTGAAAGTCGAATAGAAAGGAGATTTTTCTCCTCAGGTTGGCCCAGGGCTCTTCCCTTCCCTTCCTTCTTCCCTCCCCTCCCCTTCCCTTTCCTTTCTTTTTGAGATAGGGCCTCCCTGTAGCCCCAGCTGTCCTGGAACACACTATGTAGACGAGGCTGGCCTTGAACTCACAGAGATCTGCCTGCCTCTGCCTCCCGAGTGCTGGGATTAAAGGCGTGCGCCACCACGCCTAGCTGACTTTGAATTTCTGGTCCTCTTGCCTCCAACTCCTATGTGCTGGGATCACAGGCGCTGCCTCCCGAGTGCTGGGATTAAAGGCGTGCGCCACCACGCCTGGCTGACTTTGAATTTCTGGTCCTCTTGCCTCCAACTCCTCTGTGCTGGGATCACAGGCATGCATCATCACACCCAGTTTATGCTGTGCTGGGAATTGAATCCAGGATTCTGTGCAAGCCAGACAAGCACTCGACCAACTGAGCTACAGACTAGCATCCTACCCACCCAGGGGCTTTCCTTGAGAGCTTTGATAAAGCTGGACTCCCACTGGGTGGCTTCTCTGGATCTCCTTTGACCTCCCTCACAGTTGGGTCCCAGTCAGTTGGGCTGTATGTCAGGTTACATCCAACTAAAACCCCTGTTATCATTTGGTCCTCCAAAGGCCCAGGTGTTGAGATCTTGTCTCCAGTGTGTCAGTGTGGGAGCTGCTGATGAATCTTTAAAGAAATGGGGCCTAGTGGGAGGTCCTTAGGTTACTGGGGACACGTCCTCAGAAGGGACTGTGGATCCCTCATCCCTCTAGTTTCCTATTCTGAGATGCAACTTTTTTTTCCTTTTTTGAGGCAGGGTTTCATGTAACCCAAGCTGGCCTTGAAT